TTTGGAAAACAACTTGGCAGTTGCTTAAAAAGCTACATATGCATCTACTATACAACCCAGACATTATAATTTCAGGTATTTACTCAAAAGGAATGAAATCATGTGTTCCTAGAAAGACTACTTCGTGACTATTCAGAGCAGGTTTTTCAGGTAACTGTTAAAAACTGGGAACAGACAGGCCCATGCCTGTAATCCCAGAAGCTTGGGAGGCTGAGGTAGGAAGATTGCAAGTTCAAGGCCAGCTTCAGCAATTTAGCGAGACCTTGTCTCGAAATAAAAAAATAAAAAGAGCTGGAGATGTGGCACAGTGTTTGAGTGCCCCCCAGGGTTCAATTCCCAGTACCAAAACAAAAACAAAAAAGTGGGAAACAAGCCAACAGGTCCTCATAGGTTAATAAATAAATTGTAGAATTTTCCTATGCTAGAATATTACTCAGCAAGGAAAAAAAATAAGGTAATGGCTACACATGACTGCACAGATGAATTTCAAAAGAATTACCCTGGGACTAGGGATATAGCTCAGTGGTAGAGCACTTGCCCAATATATGTGAGGCTCTGGGTTTGATTTTCAGGGGGGAAAATCCTTAGTAAAAAAAAAGAGAAAAAAGAACACATCATGTATGATTCTACCGTCAAGGGTATAGTTCAGTGCTAGAGTGCTTACTTAGCGTGCACCAGAACCTGAGTCCAAGCCCCTAGCTAAACAGTAAAGAAAAAGAAAAACACAATTCTGGAAAATGCAAACTAATCACAGTGGCAGAAAGAAGATGGGTAGTTGTCTGGGCACAGAGGTTTGGGAGAGGGAGGGATGAATTACAGAAGAGCAAGAGGAAACCTTTGCGGGTGACTAACACGTTTGTCATCTTGATTGTGATGATAGTTTCGTGTGTGTGTGCGCGTGTGTGTATACGTACCATATGTGTTAAAACTCATCCAACTGTATGCTTTGGATAAGTGCAGCGTAATGTCTATCAATCACACCTCATTAAAGCTTGTTCAAATGTACACTGGCTCCAGGAAATATAGAAATAGTGCGATCAGCTTACATATCCTCATTTAGCCAAATGCTGAACAAACCAGGAATGGAACAGGACACATTTCACCTGTTATTAAAGGGGAGTGATAAGATTTATGGGCTTCCCAGAGATTAGGAATTCATGTCCCCAAACAGGGCATCCCTGGAAGGCATGAGACAAATAGCTCCTACATTGCTGGAATTGAAAGTAGGAGCTGAGTGCGGCCAGCAGAGACCTGCAGTGGGTTGGTCCCCTGGGGAGGGTTTCTCTCCATCCTTGGCAAGTGGGAGATCCTTGCTTTGAACTTGCTGAGTTTCAAGGAGGAGGTAGCTGGCTTGAGTTTTCCCCACAGGGTGCCTCCAAACCACAAATTCCTGGTTCCAGCTCTGGTTTATTCTAATAAGAATGAGGCTGATCCCTTAATCCCTGTTTAAAGGGCCAGTGTTTATTGATGCCATAAAATCTGGGCAAAGAGTCATAAATCATTCTTTATCTGGGTCTGGAGCATGAGCAGAGCTCAGAATGGGTACCTGGAGTTATGAGGGATCGCATCTGTTTTCTCTGTTGTTCTTCCTTCAAAACACTCCCCTGTGTGGGGGACCTCTGTTTGCCCTGCAGGCCCAGCCTCCACTCTGCTCCTTGTGAAGGTGTGGGGGTAATGCCAGCTGCAACACCCTTGCCCTTGATTTCCAGTTACCGGTGGCCATTGGGAGGCACTAGCAGGAAATCAGAGGACAGAGTGGGGGTTCATCCCAAACCAAGCAGGCCAGACAACTGTCCCCAGTGACTGGCTTTCTACCCAAGGGAGGTGCTACTCTGCCTTGACAAGAGCCCCCAGCTGGTCCTAGGACAGCTCCCTCCTCTCCCTGTCCCTTTTGGGGTACAGACGTCCTTCTCTTCTGTCCCAATATTCCTCAGGGATTTACTTTCCCCCGTGGATTCCCTAAGCCCAGGTAACCTTTCCACAGTGATCCTTAACTCATTAGCCCTTTGAGTGTGAAATCCTCTCCCGCTACAACTCTAAAGGACCCAACTTCACAGCCCCTGAACACCACATGCAGGTATTATCTTCCAATAGGGTGCAATTTACAGACACATGTCCTCGGGGTCCCCTGGTACTGCCTTTCCCTCCTGCTCCTGGTTTGGGAACTTGTATTCCTCCAATTCTTCTTCTTGGGTCCCTCTGTTTCCATCCATCCACCAGCACATCGACCTTCACTAGGAGGACATTGCTCTAAAATCAGTTTTCTCTTCTGAAACCAGCCATGGGGTTTCTCTTCCCCCAGTTAATGACACCCATCTTTTTCTAGACTCCAAAGCTGGAACACGAGGTGACACAACCTCTCTCCAGAGAAACCCAAGGGGAGGTTACTCCCAACGATCCCTCCCCCAGCGATTTACATAAAGGTGAAGACAGCCTCCCTGCTTGCCCCGAGGCAGCCCGGAGGGAACCACCTTCACGTCTACTAGCCGGCCTCCCTTCCCCCATCCCCTACGCCCAAGCCTCAGTCACCTAACTTCCCCAGGGAACGAACTTTTTCTTCTGATCTAGGCCCTCTACTGTCTCGCCTGCTGCTGGCGTTTGCCTCTTGATTCCGTTTTCTGTCCCGCAGCTGTAATCCAGTCCCTACAAGGCGTGCACCTCAAAGCACACATCTGAGCAAAAGAATTCAGCGGCTCCCTATTTGCTGCAAATGCCCATCCTCTTCTTCCCTTGTTTATTGAATGCTACCTTCCTGCGGGTTGGTATGTGTGTCTGGTACCAGGGATCAAACCCTGAAGATCGAATGCAGGGTTTCGTGCATGCTACGCAAGAGCTCTACCACTCGGTCACACAGCCCGTGGAATGTGGATTTTACCAAAAACTCTTAATTAAAAAAAATATTGTCCAGCGTGCGCGAGGCCCTGGGTTTAATCCCCAGCACCATTAAGCTCGTAGGTAAGGTAAGCACATAATACGCTCGCACCATCAAATTGCATATTGTTTAGTACTTCAAGGCGTCAAGCTTCTAGTACTTCTTCTGGGCTTCAAAGATTTTATTTTATTTTTGGTAACACCCAAACTGGCACCGGGGGTGGGGGGACCTGTAACTCTGCTCCGTATCTCCGCCGAGGAGAACTCTCCCTCGTCAGCTGGTGCCCTAGCCGACGTCGGCACAGGACGCGTGGGGTGGCCCTCAATCGCGTGGGCACAGAGTCTACAGGGGCTTCTACCAACAAGCAAGCCCCGGCCGGGTCCAGAAGATGCGGGTCCGGGAAGAAGTCCCGGAGGTTCCCGTGGATCCAGCCCAGCGCCCCAGGGCGCGGCTCTACGGTCACTGCAGGACGGGTAGAGCGGGGGTCCTGCAGGGTCAGGATGCGGGAGAGAGCAAAGGCGGAGCGCGGCGGG